TCCCAGGAAGCAGCAATGCTGTCTGGCTGGAGGGGCTGTGCGAGGCATTTCTGTCTCCCCTGTGATGCCTGGCAGCCGGCTGCGTGGGTCCCAGGGATGAAACAGAGCGTCCAGCGCCTGCCTCACTGGAGCTGCGGTAAAGCCAGCGATTACCCAGAGAGCTCTAGCGGGCTTTGTCTTGCTGTCAGCTCTGCTCAAGTGCTTCCTCTGTGTTCCTGCTGGGTGACAACGCATACTCACAGCTGACGTGCGACAAGCTTGTAAAACGAGCCTGCCCAGCAAGCCTGAGCAATAAGCCGATGCTTTGTCCTCCAGACTTGTCCGTGGCTGTTGGTGCAACCCTTGTGACTTGGGCTTGAAATACAGGCAGCCCCCTTCAGCCTGCTGCAGCAGCTTTTGGATGCTGTACTGATGCCACTGGAAGCCTACATGAACCTAGTGCTGTGGGAGATGGGCAGCAGTTAAAGTGGGGGATGCAGCAGAGGGAACAAAATAAATCCCAAAATAGCAGTAGGTTTAATTTGCACAAAGCAGTCTGAAGTCTGATCTCAGTTCTAAATGGCTTTTGTCTGCAGCTCTGTAGCTCCTGGTCATGTGCTGCAGCAATCCTCTAAACCTTCTCATTCTGAAACCAAGACAAAGGCCCTCTCTGCGCTAGCAGGGAACAGATTTGTTTATCTCTCTGTGTCTTTACGGACCTCTGTTTGTGCTCATTCCCCAAGACATCAGGGTAATATCCAGTCTCTGTTATCCTCACGCACCCGCACGGCTGTGCCACCCAGTGGGACTGACGGTACAAGCTGGAGCGAGGGGAGGTCTGAGCCAGCATGCTGTCACTGGGAATGGGGTTCACAGAGGGACAGGTATGGTTCTGCCTTCTTCCCACACACATGGAGCCAGAGACCTTGGTTGCAGTGGCAGTTGGCTGTCTTGGCTTAATGAACCTTGAATGCTCCAAATCATGTATTCCAAAATGTGTCAGAAAATTCTGTGTTGATGGCAGCATGTTGTGGTTTAAGCCCAGCTGTAAATCAGACCACGCAGTCTCTCTCTCACTCCCTCCTCACCCTCCCCCCCTCCCCCAGCTTCCGGAGGGATGGGGAGGAGAATCTGAAGAATGTAACTCCCAATGGCTGAGATAAGAGCAGCCCAGTAACTAAGGTATAACACAAACCACTGCTGCTACCACCAGTAATAATAATGATAAGGGAAATGACAAGGGAAGAGAATACAACCGCTCACCACCCACCGACCGATACCCAGCCTGACTGACCAGTGATCTAACCCTTCCGAGTAACTCCCAGTTACATCCTGGGCATGACGTGCTGTGGTATGGAATACCTCTTTGGTCAGTCTGGGTCAGGTGTCCTGTCTCTGCTTCCTCCCAGCTTCCCCTCCTCCCTGGCAGAGCATGAGGCTCACAAAGCCCTTGGTCAGACTAAACATTACTGAGCACCAACTAAAAACGTCGGTGTTATCAGTGCTGTTCCCAGGCTGAAAGTCAAAACCACAGCACTGCACCAGCTACTAAGAAGGAGAAAAACTGACTGCTACTGCTGAACCCAGGACACAGCTTCAATCATAAATTTCCAGATTGGTTTGTGTTGGAAGGGACCTTAAAGCTTATCCAGTCCCAAACCCCTGCCACGGGCAGGGACCCCTTCCACTGGAGCAGCTTGCTCCAAGCCCCTGTGTCCAACCTGGCCTTGAGCACTGCCAGGGATGGGGCAGCCACAGCTTCTCTGGGCACCCTGTGCCAGCGCCTCAGCACCCTCACAGGGAAGAGCTTCTGCCTAAGAGCTCAGCTCAGTCTCCCCTCGGGCAGGTTCAAGCCATTCCTCTTGGCCTGTCCCTACAGGCCCTTGTCCCAAGCCCCTGTCCAGGTTTCCTGCAGCCCCTTTAGGCACTGGAGCTGCTCTAAGGTCTCCCCTTCAGGAGCCTTCTCTTCTCCAGGCTGCCCCAGCCCACCTCTCTCAGCCTGGCTTCAGAGCAGAGCTGCTCCAGCCCTATGAAGTCACTGGATCTGCCCCAGATGCACTGCTGCCAGGGGACAAGTCTCCACCTCACCCAGCTCCTTCCTTCGCTGCCGAGCTCTGCAGATTGCTGGTGGATCAGCACTGGGTCATGTCCCCATCCAGGAGGTGTTGCTGGCATTTGGGAGGGGACTCATTACCTCTGCTAGGACTTGGCATGTGACCTGGGACAGCCTCCAGTGAACTGAGCACTTTGTTCTGATCCGTTGCACTTCCCCAGTGGCTAGCTGCCCTCTAATCCCCCCCAGGAAGGGATTTTCCTGTCCCACCCCAGCTCCCTGTGCCTTGGTCCCCTCAGCAAGCACTGGCAGGGTAATCATTTACTTCCTGCCACAAACCACTCCTGCGGACTTTTCCTTCGACCTTCAGACTGAATCGCCAAAATAAAAGCAAGAGGAGGGAGAGGGTGCTGGTACCCACTGCTTCCCAAGCATGGCCGTGCCAGCCGGCCCTGCCGCCGCGGCCCAGGAGTGTCTCCTCACGCCTCGCTCCCTGCAGGTAATGCTGGTTTGCTTTCTCTGGGATGATCTTTCAGTGACTTTTTGTGACTTTAACTTCTCTCAGGGATTTCTTGAGCCCCTCTGAGAGAAGCAGAGGTTTTGTAAAGGATGTAGGGACAGGCAAGGGGAATGGCTTGAACCTGCCAGAGGGGAGACTGAGCTGAGCTCTTAGGCAGAAGCTCTTCCCTGTGAGGGTGCTGATGCGCTGGCACAGGGTGCCCAGAGAAGCTGTGGCTGCTCCATCCCTGGCAGTGCTCTTCATTAGGGACTGTAGCAATAGGACAAGGGGTAACGGGTTGAAACTGAAACAGGGGAAGTTTAGACTGGATATAAGGAAGAAACTCCTTACTGTTAGGGTGGTGAGGCACTGGAATGGGTTGCCCAGGGAGGTTGTGAATGCTCCATCCCTGGTGGTGTTCAAGGCCAGGTTGGACAGAGCCTTGGGTGACACGGTTTAGTGGGAGGTGTCCCTGCCCATGGCAGGGGGGTTGGAACTGGATGATCTTAAGGTCCTTTCCAACCCGAACTATTCTATGACTCTATGAAAAGGAGAAAAAACAACTTCGAAGAACCCCCGAGGTCACCAACAGTCTGTTCAGTCTTTCATGAATCCTCTTAAGATGAAGAAATAGGCTCTGACCTATAAAGAATATCCTATCCCTATCCTATCCTCTTCTTTACTCAGCAGAGATAACTGAGTAGCCAAACATTTCAAGTCACCTTTCACTGTAGGTTGATGGCAATTTGCTTTGTGCTCTCTAGAGAAATATTTGTTTTAATCTTATTTGGATCTTTCACTGCAATTCCAATTGCTCAGGACTGTGTGGTTCCACTTCAGTGATGCTTTTATGACTATGGTTATGGGTATTCCTAGATAAGGAGATTAAGATATTTCCTATAAAATAGCATATTTGCATAGCGTATAAAGGATTATAATATAGAGAGAAGGGTGCCTCTGCATGTAGAGACAATGGACCTGTTGACACTGGATGTGTCCTGCCCTGGAGAAGCTGCATATGTGGCTTCCCCAGGGTGAGTGGCACTGGCCTGGGCTCAGGGAGGGACCAGGCTCAGGTGGTGGGGATCACACAGCTCTCTACCCCTTGCAGAGCTTGGAGCAGTGAAGACAGCTTTCCTCCCTTGAGGGGAAAAGGAAAATGTTTCCAAGCACAGGCCATGGCTGGCGGTTCTGAGCTGGGAGAGTTCAGCTGAAAAAATCACCTTTCTGTAGCCTTGCTCTCACCATGACCTGATCAAGTCCAGCACAGGCAGAACACCTGCACAGAAGGGGTTAAATTGCCTGAGAGCTGCTCATCACCGCTGAACCCAGATCCAGCAGAGGTTTTCCTGGCATAGACATGTCCTCTGGAGCACAGGGGACACCTTCCTGCACAGAAGACCAACAAGACCAGCAGGTCTCTTGTTTCACTGGAGTTGTTTAGTTTTGTTCAGGATCGTGCAGCTGGGCAGGACAATGGGCGGTGGAAGGGGTGCACAGACAGGAACGTGTGCTTGCATGCCTGTATAATGTATGTGCCCTGCAAGTGCTCCCACTTCAGCGGCCCCTTGTGTTGGCACTGATGTGTCCCGCTGTGGGCAAGGGACAAGAGCGGCTGCAGGCTGCTGCTGGCTATGTCCATGGGTGCACAGGGACTAGGTGAGAGGAAAGGCCGCACCTCTTGCATATGGGGAGGGCTGCTCAGATGGGCAACACGCTGGAGGTTATCCCTGGTCACCACAGAGATGCTGCGAGGGCTGGAGCAGCTCTGCTCTGGAGCCAGGCTGAGAGAGCTGGGCTGGGGCAGCCTGGAGAAGAGAAGGCTCCTGAAGAGCAGCTCCAGTGCCTAAAGGGGCTGCAGGAAACCTGGAGAGGGGCTTGGGACAAGGGCCTGTAGGGACAGGCCAAGGGGAATGGCTTGAACCTGCCCGAGGGGAGACTGAGCTGAGCTCTTAGGCAGAAGCTCTTCCCTGTGAGGGTGCTGAGGCGCTGGCACAGGGTGCCCAGAGAAGCTGTGGCTGCCCCATCCCTGGCAGTGCTCAAGGCCAGGTTGGACACAGGGGTTTGGAGCAAGCTGCTCTAGTGGAAGGGGTTCCTGCCCGTGGCAGGGTTGGGACTGGGTGAGCTTTAAGGTCCCTTCAACCCAAGCCATTCTATGATTCTACATGATTCTACCTGTCCCACTCAGGTCCTCCACCACAGGGAAATCTGCTTGCCCAGACACTTCACCAGGTAGCCACAGAGATCTCCAAGGTACAGCTTTCTGCAGCTGCTCCAGGCATCTGGTGGCATCTGATATTAAATTTCCAGGTGAAGAACTGCCCTACACTGGGGATTTACTGGTGGCCCATGTCTTCCTGTGCTTCCAGAGAATCTGGCAGTCACTCTGGGTACAGGGAGGATGAATTTGGTCTCAGGTCCTCAAAAGCATCAAAACCCCAAATCCTTCTCCGAGAGGAGAAATCTGTGAATTCAACAGTTGTAGGGTAAATTTCTTCAGCTGCACAGAAGTCAAACAACCAGCCAGTGCCACCCAGTCATCTCCCAGTGCCCCCCATCCCAAAGCACTTTCCAGATGAGTGCAAGGAAAGGGGCACCGGGGCAGTGGTGGAGCACGGATAGTACCCACCAGGCTGAGCACTGGGTGGGTGCTGTCCCAGTGAGGGTGATGGATCCGGCCCATGTTCCAGAGCCATTCCTGACTGGCAGCAGCCAGCACTGCACCCAGCAGCCTCTTCCTACTCTTATTCCTGTGCCCTTCACCTTTGCAGCCAGAGAGACACCTGCACGCTCTGCTTCCTGAGGACGCCGGTGCTGGCTGCTGAGCTCCTGCCCCCAGCCATAAGGAGAAGGGACGATTTTGGCTGGCTTTATGTACACGGTCTGGATGGAGCCCTCCTCCACCACCCTGGGGAGAACAAAGGGTAATGCTCCTGGCTGGTTTGGTGTCACTGAGCTCCCACAGGACCCAGAGGAGGCCCAGGCGGTGATTTGAGCGTGATGGGGGTGGCAGCTCCACATTGCACCCCTGGCGCTGAGCTACACCCAGGGTGTGCACAGCCCTGAGTGTCAGCAAGCCTCACTAACGGAGGGGGCAGCATGGCCAAAACCAACCCAACCATTGCTTTGTCCACAGTATCTACCATCATTACTGGCCACACTCCAGAGCAGAGACTTTATGCATTCAAAGCCAGGTTGGAGCAACCTGGTCTAGTAGTAGGTGTCCCTGCCCATGGCAGGGGGCTGGAACTGGATGAGCTTTAATGTTCCTACCAATCCAAACCAGTCTGTGATTCTACAATTCCAGATGGTAAAAAAATTTCTTTCTGGGGTTCTTCTGCTTCCTCTTCTTTGGATAGAAAATGGGATTTTAATTAAAGATACCTTTCTGTGGAAAAATAAAATCAGGTAGTTTTTTGTCAATAATACCAATGGGTTTTATTGAAAGAAACAAAAGCAGAAGATACTGAGCTAAAAATGCAAGGTAGCTGCCGAAAGTATTCTGAAACTTGACCATTTCAAAGTAGAGGCAAAACTAGAGAAAATAAAAACATAATAGGAGATACTTTTAAAAGCTGATAATACTCATAGCTTGAGTTTGTTGGCTGAGGAAAAACCTCAGGCTTTAATCTGAGACAGAATGACATTTCAAGCAACTTGCTGCTTCCCCTCCCTTATTATGCATGGCAATGAGCACATCAAGTGTTTCAGATGGTTTTCTCCTGGTAGCTGCAGTCCTGGGTCAAGGACCTGTGCTATGGGAGGGAGGGCTGCCCACACCTCTGCCTTCCCCACTCACACCTCCCACTGCACTCACTCCACAAGCTTTCCCCTGCTGCACCTGCATGCAGGCAGATTTTACAGGAAACAACGGAAGCAAAAACCAACTGCTTTACTTTTAACAAGGAGAGAGAAGACACCAGCCTTTCTAGGACACCTCCTTCTGATCGGAGCTTAGTCTCTGTCCTCTCAAACCACCGCGTTTTCCCTTCCAACCCCTGTTTATGTTTGCATTTAATATCACTGCAAAGCACCAGCCTGTCTACCCTGGGCTGCCATCTTCCTGGGTCGGTGAAGGACACTGGAAGGAGCAGCTTCTTCTGGGTTTGACCTGAACCAAACAACAGTTCTGACCTTCCTCCAAACCACAGGACGGGACAAATTTCCAGCTTATTGACATGGCAGAAATTGTTCTGCACCCCTGAAGTGCCTGCTCCTTCCCACCACCTGCACCCTTCCCTCCTCATCCAAAACCATTCATTCATTCATTCATTCATCATCCTCCCTCCCTCCCTCCCTCCAATTATCACTCCTTGGGTGTATCTAGCAGGTGTCTCTTCTTTCTCCACAGCTGATGTGCTTTTCCTGCTCTCTTTAAAGGGCTGCCATGAGCCAGCAGCAGTGGTATTGTGTGTTTGAGGGGGTGCTGTGGCCTAAATGAACTGCTGCAGGAAACAAAGCTATTCTCCTCTGAGAGTCAGGAAAGAGCCTTGGGTTTCTGATGTGCCGGGGCTGTCAGCAGCAGGGTGGGCTGGTGAGAGGATGGGCAGTGTGGGAGAGGAGGGGTCCCTGTGCTCACTGGCTGTGCACTGCTTCCCATTCTTCAGGACACAGCGTCTGCTGGTGGATGTGCTCCCAGGTGTGTTTGATGCTTTCTTTTCTGTTTTCATGGGATTACTTTTCTGTGATGTGCTGTGAGCTTTACCTACCTGCTGCCCTCCTCCAGCTCTGCATGGGGTTCTTCTCTAAAATCTGGAGGGTTGTTTGTCTGTGAGCTCCAGCTTGGCTAGAGCTGGGGCTGTTTGGGGTTTGCAGAGCCCTTGGGGTGTAGGGGAAAAGATCTGCATGAGAAAATGGGATGAGCCAAGAGCTCCATGGGGGGCAGCTAAGAAAGCTTCCACAAGTGGAGAAGTCCTTCAAAGTCTTTCCTGACTTTTTCCTGACTTGCTGTGTGCTGTAGTGTCCCAGTGGATATGAAAATGTTGGAGCGAGGCCAGAGGAGGCCCCAGAGATGCTGCGAGGGCTGGAGCAGCTCTGCTCTGGAGCCAGGCTGAGAGAGCTGGACTGGGGCAGCCTGGAGAAGAGAAGGTTCCTGAAGGGGAGACCTTAGAGCAGCTCCAGTGCCTAAAGGGGCTGCAGGAAACCTGGAGAGAGGCTTGGGACAAGGGATGTAGGGACAGGCCAAGGGGAATGGCTTGAACCTGCCAGAGGGGAGACTGAGCTGAGCTCTTAGGCAGAAGCTCTTCCCTGTGAGGGTGCTGAGGTGCTGGCACAGGGTGCCCAGGGAAGCTGTGGCTGCCCCATCCCTGGCAGTGCTCAAGGCCAGGTTGGACACAGGGGCTTGGAGCAAGCTGCTCCAGTGGAAGGGGTCCCTGCCTGTGGCAGGGGTTGGGACTGGGTGAGCTTTAAGGTCTTGTCCAAGACAAGCCATTTCAGGGCTCCATGACAATGGAGTTGAGTGGGCCTGGAGTTACCCCTTAGATCTTTAGAAAGGGAAAGCTTGAGTTTTGGGCTATTTTTGGCCAGTAATAGCCTGTGTATATAGGAGTCCTCCTTTCCACCTTCTCCTGTGCTCCTCCTCTGAGCTGGAACTGGGGTGTCTCCCCCATATGCTGTCTGCAGCCCCTGGGCTGGACGAAAGCTGTGGGCTGCCTTAGGTGCTTCTCTCTCAATCTTGCCATTCCAAAACCTGTGCTTCTTCCAAAGCAGTGTTTGCTGTCCCAGTGACAGTCTGCCTGGTCTCCTTGCCTCTCCATGCTGGCAACTAGCCCTTTTCAGAGTGGGAGAGGATGAGGCACTTGCTTGGAGGGGTTTGCAATCTAGGTTAGGTAGGAAATGATGCTGAGAGCAGTGACATCAGGGAGGAGGGTGGGAGGCAGCTTGCAGATGACGAGTCTATGAGGTTGCCTTTCCGTGCAAGGTACGTATTGCATTAGTAATGTGTTTGCAGCAAATAGTGCTGGGCTGGCATGGGAATGTGGGTCACCACTGGCAGAATTGTTAAAGGAAGAGGGAGCTGCTTGTGCTGTGCTGGGAAGAGAATGTATGTTACTGAGGGATGTTTGGGGTGGGGGAGATTTTAGCTGCAGTAATTGCTCCAACTTGTAAGTAGCTGCTTTATATTGTGCGAGTGGTTGCCTGCTGTTGGGGAGATGCCTCTGGTCAAGGTGTTGGGAGTGAAATGGTCTTTGAGGAGGGGGTGTGGGATGTGATAGTTTGTGTTCCTGGTGTCTAACAGTTACCTCGTATCAGAGAACTCCTAGACACACTAGCTGATGCTCTCTGTGGCTCTGGTCATGCCTGGAGCATCCCTGCCACCCCAGCAAGCGCAAGGAGGGATGCAGCCAGGCATGGCTAACCAAGAATTCCTGCCTTTATTCATGACCTATTTCTGATTCTGTTGTTCAGTGTGTGTGCACTCAGGAAATCTTTGTATTTTAGAGAGTAGCATTTGTTAGTGATAAAGAAAAGCTTATTTGACTGCTTAGGAGATTTAAACCAGAAACTTACTTGGTTTTGAAGGTGTACTCAGGCTCAGGAAGGAGGCTCTGGGCGTGAATAGAAAATGATAAGGTATGGGGACGTACATATCCTAAAAATGTGCTTGGTACAGAAAGAGACTCTCACCCCAGAGCAAGTACATTTAATGAAATAGCATTTGTTGGAAAATGCTGCTCTTGGTCAGCAGAGACCAAGAACGGAGCAGAATGGGGCTGGTGGAGGGAAGCATGGGTGGGCTGCTAGGCTGCGGTACTGGAAATAAGCCCCTGTGGGGCTGCAGGCCCAAGCTTGCTGGTCCAAGCCCCTCTGAGCAAGATGGGACTTGTCCTGCATTCGGCACTGAGCACAGATTAATGTGTTTTTGGCTTGTCCACATGCTGCCCAAGATGTCCACCTGTGCCCAAGCCATTATTTTCCTGGAATCTAGACTCAGAACAGTGTCAGTAGCAGCAGGCTAAAGCTGAGCTTGTGGGAGTTCAGATTTGGAGTGAACAGGCTGCATTAGCTGATGGAGCTGCATGTATGGAGTGAGATGAGCTGTTGAACTGTGCAGGCTTGGTTGGGTTGCTAAGGAGAGATGGTCTTGGTCAGGGGTGGCAGCCCTCACCCCTCTAAATGCTGCTGCCACTTGCACTTTGGGGGTTGCTCCACATGTCCCTGTGTACCCCTGCCATCACTAGTGCCACCCTCCTGCACAGCACTGAGCCTTGAGTGAGCGCTGCCTGCTCTGGGAAGCATGGCTGATGTCCCTCTGTGGTGACCATGGTTGTGGCCAGCCTGTCCAGCAGCCTGTGGGATACCTGCAGCCCTGGGGCAGGCACTCACCTTCAGCCAGTGAGCCTGACTCTCAGGGAAGTACGGACTATACCCAGTGGGAAGAGACGGGGTTGGTCTGTCTGGGTGCTGCCTGCATGTGTCGCTGCTAGGGCAAGCTTCTATACCTGCTGCAGGGAAAAGGCAGGGTCTTGGACAAGCCTGATATTATAAGCTCTCACTGAATGCTTTGTGGCTTTTCTTTGAATTCCTGCTTTCCATTTCATACCCATTCAGAAACTCTAAACTTTCTACAGCCTGGTTTTTGGCTCCTTGTCAGATCTGCACACAGATCCTGAAGCTGCTGATGCTGCCTGGGCTTAGCAGCTCTCTGGAGTGCAGGTTCCTCCATCCTGCACATTCTAGGAAGAGCTCTGTAAATGGGCTTGTGCTCACCTGGAAACTTCTTGTTCTACAAGCCCCTTGCCTGGGGAAATGGGGTCTGGCAGTTGGTGCCCCCGGTTCCTTGGTCTGTGGAAGAGCTACTGCAGGATTACAACTTGTGTGTAAAGCCCCCCCCCCCCCCCCTTTTACGGGGATGAGGGGGGAGCATGTTTCCTGTTTCCGTGAATGTTTTGATTCTTTCCTTCCAGTAGCAAAACTAGGGCAGAGCCAGGGAGTGAAAATGAGTCTGGGCATTTTTTGTTATCTACTTCCAACCAAACCCAGGAACCCCCTGTACAGGCTGCACTTCTCAGTCTTCTCTCTTGCTCAGCCTGTGCAGTAGGGAGCAGGGTCAGGACTTTGCCTCTCTCTGAAGGGAGCAGTGGTGGTGATGACTATGATTGGTGGCAACTGCCTGCACAGCTGAGCAGAAGGGATGCTCTGTGGTGGGAACCCCAGCTTCTGCCTCTGGCTATATGCCCTCGGGCAAGTCAGTTCCTTGTTGTGGTGTGTGTGTCTGCATGCTGGCTTACCTCCTGCAGGGCCCTGAAAGGTTTCATTCATGTCCCTAATTACTCCCAGAGTCCTGAATGAAAAGGGCAGGGGATGTGCCAAGTGTGTGGCTACCCCGGTACATGATCCTTGTGAGCACTCTCCTTGTTCCCCCTGGAGACCCGAGGTGGCTCAGGGAGGCAGCAGTGGCCCTTTAGCCCAAGTTCCCTCTGCCACAGGAGAGTCTGTTTTGCGGCACTGATCCCCATCCTGTGAGCTATTGAGGGCTCCTGGTGGGGCTGGGAGGGGAGCTGTCCTGGTTCCTATAATTTCCTGGTTATTTTGGTACTTTGGTGGAAGGGGGAGGAGGGCAGCTGTGAAGAGAAGAGCAAGGTCAGTGAAGAACAAACGTGTCTCTGTGCACTTGTGATTGCGCTGCCAGCTAACCGGTGCTGATGCTCCAACTTTCCTCACAGAACTCATCAAGCACGGCCGGGAGAGGATAGGACAAACCATCAAGGCCTCCGGCTCCAGGCTCTGCTCATAGTGAGTATGAAAGCCCTCCGGGGGTGAGAGCCCTTTAAAAGCTCAGCCCGATAGCCCCTGTGCTGGCTTGGCGGGGGATGGAGCTGGCTGGCACTAGGCAGATGTGGGCAGTGCCTGGGGACAGCTTCCAGCGCCTGCCATCAGCCTGGCCACCGGCGAGGGGGCTCTGGGATGGCCTGGGGTCTGTGCATGGGGGTGCAGAGAGGGAGCACCCACAGGTGAGATGAGGGGAGGCTGGTGGCATCTTCAGGCCCCCTTTTTGGAAGGGGCAGGGCAGACGGAGGAGTGTGAGCTTTCAGAGTATCCCTGCTGCGTATGGGAGGTTTGTGGGGCTGAGGGACAATGGACAAAGCTCTGGGGCAGGGGAGAAGGGAACAGTGTGGGGGGTTTTCTTTTTCTGCCCAGCCCCCCCCCCCCCCCCCCCCCGTCACCTCTAATCCTGGCTTTTGCAAGGAGGTGGGGGGGAACCCTTAAAAGTAAAGGGAGAAAACCCTGGGGTGGCAGGACCCAGCTCTCCCCACTGATGCTGGAGCAGAGCAAATCTGAACTGCCTAGTGTTGTTCCAGTCCAACTGCTCCAGCAGCAGCTGCGCTGGGTAGATGAGAGCCCTGTGCTTCAATGCCTCTGCTCATGGGTATGGCCAGTGCCTCTCCTGTGGGCTGTCAACAGCCCCAGGCAGATGTGGTCTGCCCTGGGTGGGGGAATGGCCCCCAGCTGCTGCCAGCATGGGGGTGCGGCGGTTGGACCTGGCTGGACCCCCCCTGACTGCCCTGTGTGACATTCACTGGGTGGCAGGGCTGGGAGCAGCGGGGTCTCTGTGCACTGGGACAGGGGCTGCATCTGCCTCGAGAGGGGCCTGTCCCGTCCAGGAGAGCTGCAACCTCCTCCTGCCTTGGGGCTGCTGTGCTGCTCTTCATGTGTTAGCTCCCTGACCAGTTTCTGCTATTGCAAATCAAGAACTAACTGTGGCATCTAATATATTGCTTGTTCACACCCCTCACTCCAACCTCCTGTCAGCATGTGTGTATTCACTGTTCCCTGTCTCCCCAGAGCATGTGCACCCTCACCCCTTAGGAGCAGCAGTGCCACCAAAGGGGTAGCTGGGGGTCTCTGCTGAGGTATTCTGTGATGGAGGGGAGCAGTTTCTCTCTTGGATTTTGTTTTCAATATTGGCTTGCTCTTCTTTTCCCAAGTGCTGAAAGAGTTGCCTTTTTAATGGATCGTTCCCGGAGCCCAGATAAAAGCACCCAGGTGAGATCATGGCTCTGAGCCAGCAAGTCTTCACCTTGGGGATGCAGAGGGGCTAGTGCCTGTAGGAGAAAAGCAAGGAGGAGAGCCTATGTTAGCCTGCCAGGAGTCTTGCTGCTGCCTTATCCCTGTGGATTATGCTGGGTGGAGGTAAAATGAGAGCAGAGAGGGCCTATATAGCCTTTTGGACAAGGCAAAATGCTCCCAGAGTCTGGGGAGGGGAAGACTCCTGGGGACCAGGGAGAGGAGGAAGACCATGTGTGTATGTACTGCTGTCACTGGGAAGAGAGAGGCTGCATCTCCGTGGTGCTGGGTGTGCATAAGGCTACTTCCAAGGCTCCAGACTTGGCAGTTTTGGGGCTCAGCAGTAGTGGGCAGAGGGCTGCAGTGTCTGGGGACAATGCTTATGTCCTGATGCAGGAGTGTTCCTCTATGAGCTGTGCAAAGTGCTTCTTGCTTAGCCCAGGCAGTAGGGAATGGCTTGTTGTCTCAGTGCTGTAGTGAGCAGCTGAGACCCACAGTGGCTTTCCTCTGTCACAGCACAACAGGTCCTAAAAACCTCAAGTTGGGGCCAAGCAGTTGCTTAGTAGTTTTTATTTGTGCAAGTATGGGATGAGGACTTCAGCACATACTCTAGCTTAGTAAAGTTTCCAGCTTGGGAATGATACAGCTTTAGTGCATAGCTTTGTTCTCCCTTCCCCCTCACTTCAGTTGCCAAAGCGTCCGCTGTGTCTCTTGCTAATGGGTATTTAATAACTCTGCAAGTGATACTGTTTTGAGGGAAGGAAAGCACAACCTGCAGCATGGTCCTTGTGACTAATATTATTGTTATCCTCTCTAGCCTCCAACACCAACTGACAACATCAACCTTGGACCTTCTGCTAACCCAAAGTAAGCTCCCTGCAAAAGCCAGGTAGGGTGTGGGGCATGCAGTGAAGAGATTTGGCAGGGGAATGTAGTTGGCCCCTGTGTCTTGCATGGGTGGTGTCTACAAAATCTTAACAATTGCATTTCTTGGCTTTTAATACCATGTGTATCAGCAATGCATTAGCTTTCAAGACATTCAGCTATAGCTGGTCCCTGTTATCATAATCATCTTGTCCAAGTCTGCAGCCCCTTGTTCTGTCTCTCTTCAGAAGTAGTAAGGGAAGATCTTCCTCATCCCTGCTGGCTCCATGACTACCTTTCTCTAGAAACAGGAATAAACTGCGTCTCCTATAGAGGTGCCACTTGGTCCCACAGGTGCTTTTCTCTGATGCAGTGCTCAGCAGCAGGCTGAGGGGCTGTTCACCCTCTGTTGGCTGCACTGACGTAGGCAGTGTGAATCCAATGCTGGCCAGGGGTGAGGGTCACCCATCTGGTGCCCTTTAATCCCTTCCACAAACACTGGTGGTTCCTAAAAGGAACTCTGCCCTGATGGCAGTGTTGCTGTTGTGTGTTTCTCTCCCAGAAACATTAACTTGTTTCTTTCTTGCCCAACAGTGCCAAACCAACAGACTTTGACTTCCTGAAGGTTATTGGCAAAGGAAGCTTTGGAAAAGTAAGTGGGTTTTTACAGGTGGGCTGGAGCTCTTTAGAGGCGGCTTAGAAAAAACTTTCTTGCTGAAGGAGTTTCTAGCTGTGTCCTTTGCTTGTACCTCTCCTAAAGAGCTTGTTCTGAGTGGGACTGGGAACAGAAGAGACTGGAGATAAGAGTCTTCATAGTTCATTCTTTGTGCTGTCCTGCAACCTCTATAAGGACACAAGTGTGAGGTATCTTATGCTCAGGGTGGTGACGGCAAGGAGCAGTACTTGATTCAAAATAAGCTTCAAACTTGCTCAGCTAGCAAAAATTCTCCAGGCAAATCTGTACTTTGAGATAGCAAGGATCCATTTTAAATAGGGCTGTCTGCAGATGCTCCAAAACTATTTTCTACCAGATGTGTAAAAGGTGTATGTGGATATGTCATGTGCTCTCTTCTGGCAATGAGAAAGTGCTGGGAAATTGGAGGACTGGAGCTATGTCTTTAAAACTTTGTACTTGGCCTTCTGAAGCTGTATGCTGTGTATAGTCACTCACACAAGTGGGGAGCTCATGAGGAAGCACTAACCCAACGGAAGGTGAGAATGAAATCCATTAACAGGACCTTCTGTTGCAGGTTCTTCTGGCGAAACGCAAGTGTGATGGGACTTTTTATGCAGTGAAAGTTTTGCATAAGAAAACCATCCTAAAGAAAAAGGAGGTATGTCAGCTCTCCTTGGTTACTTCTGTAAATAGTGGTCAGCCTATGAGTCATCCGGGTAATGCAATTGAGGTATCTTGTGGCTGGTATTCATGTAGACAACTCACAGGCTAAACATGCATTTCTCTGTGCCACGGGAACATGGCTAAGAACTGAGATGATGCAGGACAGACAGCAGAGAGCAGTTCCTTTCCTGGGGCTGAAACTTCCACGTTTTGAAAACAGCAGTGAGCCCTTATGGCAGACTGGACCCTTGCCTGAAATGCTAATGCCATGCCTGCTTTTTGATAGCAAACCCACATCATGGCAGAACGCAATGTGCTCCTGAAAAATGTCAAGCACCCCTTCCTTGTGGGACTCCATTACTCTTTCCAGACCTCGGAGAAGCTTTACTTTGTGCTTGACTATGTAAATGGAGGAGAGGTGAGTGCACTTACAGGCTTTATTTCGATCCTTGGTCCTTCCCAAGCATGCTTCTTTATTGTCTAAAACTGTTTCTTGTCACAAGGTAATTATATTGAAGTACAGTGTTCCTTTAACTGGAATAGGTTGCCCAAGGAGCTTGTGAATGCTCCATCCCTGGCAGTGTTCAAGGCTAGGTTGGACGAGGCCTTGGGTGATATGGTTTAGAGCGAGGTGCCCCTGCCTATGGCAGGGGGGTTGGAGCCTGACAATCCTTAAGGTCCTTTCCAACCCTAACTATTCTATGATTCTATGATTCTAACTGCTACCAAGACCAAGCCAGGAGTAGTGATATGCTGTCTTGGTTTAAGCCCAGACAGTAACTCAGAACTATGCAGCCGCTCACTCACTTTCCCCCTGCTCCCAGAGGGATAGAGAGGAGAATGGAAAGAATGTAACTCCCACGGGCTGAGATAAGAACAGCCCAGTAACTAAGGTATAACACAAATCACTGCTGCTACCACCAATAATAAGGGAAATAACAAGGGGAGAGAATATGAAACTAAAAGGGAAAAACAATAAACACAAGTGATGCCCTATACAATTGCTCAGCACCCACCAACCAATAGCCAGACCAACTCGAGCAGTGATCTGGGCCTTCCGGGCAACTTGCCCCCATTTCTATCCTGGACATGACATGCTGTAGTATGGAATACCGCTTTGGCTGATTTGGGTCAGGTGTCCTGTCTCTGCTTCTTCCCAGCTTCCCATGCCCCTTCTCACTGGCAGAGAGCATGAGACTGAAAAGTCCTTGATCAGGGTAAGCGCTACTGAGCAACAACTAAAAAACATCAGTGTGTTACCAGCATTGTTCTCAGACTGAAGCTGAAAACACAGCACTGCGCCAGCTACTAGGAAGGAGAAAAATAACTTGCAGCTAAACCCTGGACACTATCTCACCTGTAAACTGTGTGAAATCTTGCTGTCTATGACCTGAATCCCAAGGCAAGGATACTGAGAAAAGAGACTGTTAGGGAGGCTTTAAAATCCTATGGAGAATACAGAAAATGCTGATGCTGGTGGGATCCAGGCGAAATCCACTTGTGGGCCAGCTCTGGATCCTAGTCTAATGCTTGGGTGATGTCACTGCAGTTTGCTAGATTTCTTTTTTTGTCCTGTAAAAACCTTTATTCAGGTTTGGGGTTTTTTTCCTCATGATACCTGAAACTGGCTGTGAGATAATGTTAACATGAATGTCTTGACCAAAGACAACTTGTATGGAGGATCTTAATGGATTCCGTTCTGTGCATGCACCACTTCTCATGGCCATACTAGCACTATAATCAGCCTGTGGCTTCTAGCAAGCTACGAAGCTTAATTAAATCGGCAGATGACCATTTGTGGGGCAATGAATGCTTAACTGAGAAGAAGACAAATGAAGCAATTTCTAGAAAGGTGTTTAGATTGCTTAAAGTCACTTGGTTTGGGCTTATTTGATGCTGTTCATGTGCTACTTGCTGCAAATCAGTTTTCACTTGAGTAGATGGGTTTCAGGCTTGCTCCAGGTATCCTTCAGGTTTTTTAGAGAAGAAATGATCCACTCTCTCATCTGCCTGTAGCTTTTCTTCCACTTGCAAAGGGAGCGCTGTTTCCGTGAACCCCGGGCCCGATTCTATGCTGCAGAAGTTGCTAGTGCAATTGGATACCTGCATTCCTTAAACATCATTTACAGGTAAGGTGCTGCCAGGGAGAGCATGGGCACCAACTCTGCTCAGCCCAGCTGTATGCAGTGCTGGGAAGGAAAAGGGAGTCACTATGGCCCTTCAAAATGCAGGACTGGAGCAGCTGGAAAATCAACTACCTGACAAGATAGTGCTGTTGGCACTTTATCCTGCAAGAGGGGTGCTGTCTGTGTGGGTCTGATGGGCAATAAATATTGCTAGCCTGATAGTGAAAAGGAGAGAGAATGGTGAAGTGTAAAGATCCAGAATAAACCTGGCTCAATAAGCAAGAATTTGTCACTTTGTAACAATTTATGCATAGATAATGCAGGCTAAAACCTGATCCTGTATGACAGGGTCTTGCTATGTTTGCATGTGTCTGTATTGATACTTAGAAGTGATGGGAGTCTATACTTGGGGAACACTGTGATGAACCAGATTGGGGAGTTTTGTTAGCTCCCGTTCTTAGCTGATACTGTTTCAGATCTGGCTTCTCTAAATATCTGGCCAAATGTGCTCCAACAGCATTTTCTGTCTTGCAGGGACTTAAAACCTGAGAACATTCTCCTGGATTGCCAGGTATATTCACAGATTGTGCTGCCTTCCTTCTGGCTTTAAAACCGTCAGGACCATAAACAGAGGAGTATGGTCCTGCAAGCTGGGCTGTAGCTCATTTCACTGTATGTATTCTGTATGTATGCACCACTGCCCTTCTCTGCAGGTCCTGCAGGAGGGGGTGAGCCTCGGCTCCACAGAACTGCGCACCCAGGGCCCACAGCTTACTCCCAAAAGCTGGGGCCTGACGTGTGGGCAAGGATCGGGGTGCTAAGAGCATGTCACTGCTGCTATGCTGGTGGTGATTGCTATACAAACTGGCTTTGGGATAAAGCAGTGGCAAAGCACCACAGTGCTGGATCTCCTAATAGCTATACAGTTGTAGACAAATAAATTAATCTAGGTTAAACTTTCTCTATCAACTCCCATACCTGTGTTATAAGATGCCCAGAAGGTGAGGGAGGGAAGCAGATGAGCAGTGGGTAATCCAAACATACATGAGATGCAATGGAAGGCCAATGTGTGGCAATCCTGTCTCTTCTCTAGAAAGAGAGGGCCAAGCCAAAACACCTCTCTCTTTTCTAGGGACACGTAGTATTGACAGACTTTGGACTCTGCAAAGAAGGCATGGAGCAAGAGGAGACAACTTCTACTTTTTGTGGCACCCCTGAGGTACAGCATGTGCTGGGGTTTCTCTGTGACCTGGGGCTGAAAGCCTTCAGAGACTTGCTGCTCTGGGTCTGACTTGCATGAGTGCTCAGCATTCCAAAATATGGGCTCTGTGAATTAGATCATTATCGGCTCTTTGAGGTTGTCAGCCTGAAGCTGGAGTTCAGATGAGGCCTCAGAGGTTTTACCTGTGACAACTGTGCTGTTGCGGTAGGGAACCCTGCACTGGAAAGGGCCAGTCTTGTGAAACTGGGGCTGTTTGAGGTGGCTGCGGAGACAGCCTTGACCCTGGGAGCCCATGAACAAGCCTGTGACAAGGCTGTTTACCTAATCTGATACCCTGGAGCTGCAGAACAGGGAGCTGGTTGGTACTGGCACACAGGACCTTGTTGTGCTCTTCTGTTTGTCCTTGGTATGCAGGAGCTGCAAAACACTCTGTGCAGAGGAGAGTATCAAGCTCTTATCTGGAATGTGGACACTGCTTACAGGGGAGGGGAGGAAATGCTTTTTCTCCAACAGACCTCAGTTAGGGTTTGCTAAAACCTATCTCGGATTTGGATTCTTGGGAGGCTTTTTTTTTTTCCTGCTGTTTACTGAGTTGGGGATTTTGCTAGTGTTTTGGCCTAGGTAATATAGCTGTTCTGCTGTACTTCCTCAGACAGCATAAAGAAGGGTCTGTAAACAAGGTACTTTCCAGTATTCAAGCTGAGTAGAAGTGGCCAGGAATCTCCTGGTGGTAGGTCTTGGCTTTCAGTATGGACCCACTTGTACAATAGCAAGGCATGAACCAAGCAGGACTGTTTCAATAAAATCATACAGAATTGGAGACTGGTTTGTGTTGGAAGGGACCTTAAAGCTCCTCCAGCTCCAACCCCTGCCACAGACAGGGACCCCTTCCACTGGAGCAGCTTGCTCCAAGCCCCTGTGTCCAACCTGGCCTTGAGCACTGCCAGGGATGGGGCAGCCACAGCTTCCCTGGGCACCCTGTGCCAGCGCCTCAGCACCCTCACAGGGAAGAGCTTCTGCCTAAGAGCTCAGCTCAGTCTCCCCTCAGGCAGGTTCAAGCCATTCCCCCTTGTCTGCCCCTGCATTCTTTTGTTTGTTGTGTGGGGGTTTGTTTGATTTGGTTTGGTTTTGGGGTTTGGGGGTTGTTGGTTTTTTGGGGTTTTTTGGTTGGTTTGGGCTTTTTTTTTTGGGGGGGGGGGAAGAGGAGGGTGTGAGGGGTGTGTTTTTTGGTGGGAGCCTGATTAGTACACAGAGATAATCCTGTGGGAGACCAGGCTCAACGTGCTGCTTCAGTTCTTGTCCCTTGCGCTTGGTAGTAGTTGCTGGCAGTTTTGCGGCTTTCGACAGTCTTAAGGGGACTGGAAGCTGCAGTCTTCTCAAAACCACGGGAGCCTCCTAAAGGTGTAATGTGCTAGTGCAGGATGGATTTGATGGTTAGTTGTGGTGCGCGGCAAATACTTGTAAAAGTCCTCTACAGGAAAAGAACCCTCTGTAACCCATAAAAACACTTTGGGATGTTTGGTAGGTGGCTTTCAAACTCTGCTCTGAAGCAAGTGGAGAGTATATCAAGGCATAGCAGTAAATGGATCTGTGTGTTTCCTAATGCATTTGCTGAGCTTGAACTGCAGTCAGGTTTGCATGTTTATGAGGACAAAGCCCTTCCTTTGTAAGCTGACTAAAATATTTGCTGCTGACTCTTCTTAGTACCTGGCTCCTGAGGTGCTAAAGAAGCAGCCGTATGACAGGACAGTAGACTGGTGGTGCCTAGGAGCTGTCCTCTACGAAATGCTGTTCGGACTGGTAAGTTTGGAAGCAGTCTGTTTTTACTTTACATAGAGTCATAGAATGGTTAGGGTTGGAAGGGACCTTACGATCATCCAGTTCCAACCCCTGCCATGGGCTGGGAACCCCCCTGGTGAGAATTACTCTATGGTGGAGAAATTAATTTTGAAAGTAGTGGTGTGGGGTTGGTCTGGTGTTCACATGGTACCTGTCACACACAACTGAATCCAGAGTTAAATGGCATAGTTCAGCACACCATTGCCCCTCTGAACAGCAGTATGGCAGGTCTCCCTCATCTTGCTGCAGGACTTTTGACCTGACATTCATTACAGTAGCTCATGTTTCACATGGCTGCTTCTCATCTCTGTCAAATTAGCCTCCTTTTTACAGCCGGGATGTGTCTCAGATGTATGACAACATTCTGCACAAGCCGCTCCAGATCCAAGGAAGTAAGACTGTAGCAGCTTGTGACATTCTCCAGGGACTTCTCCACAAGGACCAGAAGAGGAGGCTGGGTGCCAAGTCAGACTTTGTAGGTGGCCTCCATTATGATCAGGAGGGAGATGGGTAGGAAACCTTTCTATTCTGAACCTTTCTTTCATGACAGCAGTACTGCCTTGGAAAAAGCGTTCCATGCAGTCTGATGTCTCTTCAGCCTCCGAAGAATTGGGTTTCCAAAGGGAAAGATATGGTTGCAAACTAGGACACCTATATGTGATGGTTATCTCCCTTCAAGGGATTACTGGACCATGACCCTTATGTGTTAAGAATTCGCTACATGGCCCTTATGTGGATATGTAGTGGCTTCAACCACTTAATCCTATGAAACCAGCTAGCAGGCACTGGAAAAGAAGGGTTGGCAGAAAACTGACTTTTCACCCTTCACTTTATATGCAGCTTGAGATAAAGAATCATGTATTCTTCAGCCCAATCAACTGGGACGACTTGTACCATAAGAGGATAACTCCTCCATTCAACCCCAATGTGGTAAGTGGGTATTTCTTTTGGTATTTGTTATAGTGGTACAAAAGGAATCCTCTTCAGGGGTCTTACACTGATACTGAGGGGTGCTGAAGTGCAGGTTGGGAACCGTAGATGCAGAAGTCCTGACTCTCCTGGAAGAGCAGCTGTGTTAGACTGAATACAAGTGGCTGGTTGGGGACTACTCACCTGGAGTGACTGTGTGTGTCTGTTCCTTGGCTTAGGCTGGTCCAGCTGATCTGCGACACTTTGATCCAGAGTTCACCCAAGAAGCCATCTCCACCTCCATCACCCACACACCTGACCTAGCAGCCAGCACCTCCAGTGCCTCAGATGCATTTTTAGGATTTTCTTATGCACCAACTGAAGAGGGCATCTAGGTTTTACAAAGGCTTTGAGAAGTCAGATTTTTAACTGAACGGTTTTTATGTCTGGGGGGTGTTGGTTTTGTTTGTGGGTTGGGGGGGGTTGTGGGTGTGGGTTTTCTTGGTTTTGGTACTGTTCTTTTGCTCATGGTTAAGGAAATTGGGACTAACACAGTAACTGGCTGGGATGGAACCATGAGTTCTTAACTTTTGCTGTTTGAATTTCTCTCTGAATAACTCTTTCCTCCCTGGTAGGGAGAGACACGGGTTAGTATGATTTCCCCCTAGACTGTCTTGTGCTAGTTGGCAGACCTGTATTCATTCTGTGTTTGTATTTCTGGTGGGGGTATGTACAATCACTCACATCAACAGCCGTGTGCCTGAAACTGACCACTCTTAACTTTTTTTTTAATCGTTTGTGTGGCACTAACCTCTGTCAAAGGGGTTCCCCCTCTCCTCCCCAGTAGTGAGGAAAGCCCTTCACACTACCAAGAGCTCTGGCTTCTTTCCTTTAATTGGACCGTGCAGAAGCAACCGTGAGGCTGTTAAGTAGAAGTCAGTTTGTGGGATAAAAAGATGAAGAAAGGACAGAGCTGCTTGGAAAAAAAACACCAAAAATAACCTTCTGGCCAACCCTGGCTTGAGATGGGGACTTCTTTCACAGCACACAGGCCTGAGGCACACAAACACTACTGCAACAAGCATGACCTGAAGCATGGTTGGAGCAGAAGACAGCGCACATTGATGAGACCCTGCACGCTCTGGTGCCCATCTGAATGTGCCACTGATGCAGAAGAGCGTCCTGGGCTCAGCACACTATGTCAAACACATTATTTATTTTGCCTTAATTTAAATGCTGGTGTACTCATTCAATGTCACTTTTGACTTTTTTTTAAAGTCGTTCTGTTGCTGTGGGTGGGAGAAGCTCATGACCCCACACCCAGGGTTTCCTAAAAGCTGTGCGATACTCATGCTGTTAAGCTTTCGTGCTGGACCAATCGTTTGTTTTACCAGTTACCTTGTATCTGCTGTAGGCATCTGCACCATGCTGTGGTTTATATTAAAGCGCACACCTGCCTGTCCTTCCACTGCCCGCCTGTAAGGGAGGGCTGAGGGCAGCGGTGGCTTTCCCGCTGTGCTGTAGCGCGGATGTAGCCTCACCGTGCCTGCACGCGGAGTCACTGGGCCTTGTTCAGCTTAAATACCTGAAGTATCCCCATTTCAGGCACTCAGCACTGGGTTTGGCTGGTCCTGTGGCCCAGCAGCTTGCTGCTGAAGGGTGCAGCTGCTTGAGGGGATAGGGACTGCCTCTGCGCGGCTGCCAGGGACCGGCTGGTCGGGAGCTGGCCCCAAGCGCTCAGCGGCCAACGCTCGGCGCTGCCTGCAGGCGGGCTCAGTCTGACGGCAACGAGAAGCCGGGGGCACCTGGGACAAGTGCCCGGCCCAGTGGGGCGGTGACGGGAGGCCCGCTTCCCTCCCAGCCTGCCGCAGTGGTACCGCCCCGGCCCCCCTCCCTGCCGCGGAATGGAGCAATCCGTCGCAGCGCTCCCGCGTTCGGGGTGATGCACTCGGCGCATGCGCCTCCGCTGCCCCGCGTTGCCAGGTGGAGCGCGGCGGTTGGGGGTGCTCCGTGAGCGCGCTGCCTGCGTCAGGGTTCGGTTCGGTTCGGTTCGGTTCACTTCGCTTCACGTGGCCGGAGCTGCCGTCCTTCGGTGCACCCTGTGGCAGCCCCAGGTCACCACATGGAGGGGGGCCTCCGGAACGCCATCGTCTTCAATGCGTCCAAAGGGGAGGCTTTCACTCTCGCCAGCGGCTACAAATCCCTGCGGAAAAGGCTTCGCGGTGACTGGAAGGTTCAGAGGTGAGGGGCAGTGTCGTGACCAGCTCAGATGACGGGCTGCACCCCCACAGCCCTGGTTTACCGGCAGAGATCCCAAGACGAATGTGATCCTTTTTGGATGCCCGAATAGTTTCTGGGAATAGTCATCATAAGCAAAGATCGGTTTTTGCAGTGGTTGCGCTCTGTGGCATTAGCTGCAATTACCTTGTGCATAGATGACGTTGGAGCTCCCAGCTATCGTATCTGGTCCTGCCACTGAGTTGGATCAGTCCCAAGCACAGACACACGCTGGGGAACACTGGATGGAGCCGCCCTGAGGAGGACTTGAGGGCGTTGGTCAGTTACGAGTTCCCCACTCGTACGAGTTCACTGTGCGCTTGAGCCTAGAAGCGCCCCCCCCTGTTCTGGGCTGCACCCCCAGAGTGTGGGCAGCAGCTCAGGGAGGGGATCCCGCCCCTCTACTGTGCTCTGGGGAGACCCCCGTGCAGCCCTGATCCAGCTCTGGGGCAGCAGCACAAGAGGGACCTGGAGCTGCTGGAGCGAGGCCAGAGGAGGCCATGGAGATGCTGCGAGGGCTGGAGCAGCTCTGCTCTGGAGCCAGGCTGAGAGAGCTGGGCTGGGGCAGCCTGGAGAAGAGAAGGCTCCTGAAGGGGAGACCTTAGAGCAGCTCCAGTGCCTAAAGGGGCTGCAGGAAAGCTGGAGAGGGGCTTGGGACAAGGGCCTGTAGGGACAGGCCAAGGGGAATGGCTTGAACCTGCCCGAGGGGAGACTGAGCTGAGCTCTTAGGCAGAAGCTCTTCCCTGTGAGGGTGCTGAGGCGCTGGCACAGGGTGCCCAAAGAAGCTGTGGCTGCCCCATCCCTGGCAGTGCTCAAGGCCAGGTTGGACACAGGGGCTTGGAGCAAGCTGCTCCAGTGGAAGGGGTCGCTGCCTGTGGCAGGGGTTGGGACTGGAGGAGCTTTAAGGTCCCTTCCAACCCAAACCAGGCTGGGATTCTATGATCTGTGGAAGAGATGGAGTGTAAATTATAAGGCTGCAACTTCTGATACAGGTTTTGAGCCTATCTTGATTTAGGGTTTTGAGACAAAAACAGCAGCCCTTGTACATATGATATTGCCTATCCGTCCACTACAAAATGTGCCCAGAGCAAAAGTTAAAAAATAAGAGTAAGAGGAAGCTCATTAGGTGGCAGGTTTAATAGCAGATTTGGCAGTTTATGCCAGTACTGGATCTGCCACCGTACCTTGTTAAAGGAACTTTACCTTTTAGTGGGTTGAAATTTGTAAGGATTGGTTTTGCTTGTTAACTTTAAAAAAAGGTGCAGAGTGACTGAAATTATTTGCTTTGTGTTTGGCAGTCCTTTAAAAACAACAACTGTATAAAGACAGAAAAGTTGCAGTCCAGGATTAGATCCAAGAATAACACATGTCTTTATTCACAGCTTAAAAGATGAGATCACATCTGAGAAATTGTTTGGGGTAAAACTGTGGATTACAGCAGGCCCAAGAGAAAAGTTCAGTGCTGCTGAGGTAAGAAGTCAGTAGTTGTCTGCAAATTAAGTATGTTTTAAGATTTGCTTAATGCAAAATAGAAAGAACAACCCAGAAGAATTTGCAGTGTACTGCTTTAAATGAATTTACACCAGTTGAAATATGAATTTCTCACAGGATAAGTGAATTGCAGATGGGCAGAATCATTCACCTTCCCTCCTCTCCTTATAACTTTCTGCAGTCTTTTGTGTAGCTTTTCACATGTTTGTTCTTTGTTGTTTTCCAGTTTTCCGTTCTGAAGAAATTCCTGGAGGATGGTGGAGCCATCCTGGTGATGCTGAGAGAAGGTGGCGAGTCCCGATATGGCACAAATATTAACTTCCTGCTAGAAGAGTATGGGATTGTTTTCAATAATGGTAATGGGGCTCACTGATAGCTCTTGTTCATCTGTCCTCAGCAAAATCTAAAGAGCAGGTTCAGCCTTTGTAGATGTAAGCCAAGCAGTTCCCTCTCACAAATTTCCTGTTGGTCTAAAATTTTTTTTCTTGAAATCTAGATATATGTGGCAGTGTAATATTGGAGCACACGGAGGGCTTTCCATGGGCAGAATGCCTTAATAATGTAGCCATTTCCCTTCCTTTGCTCTAGTTGTAGATTTAATGATATTTACTAACAAAAATTAATTCTAGTGACATTTCTTGGATAAAAAGCCTTTCATTTCAAATATTTTTCCATGTGTTTTATTGGATTGAATTGCTCACACTGAAAAAACAGTGGCCCTTTTCTTTAGGAGACCAATAGAATGCCATTCATGAGTTTTCCCACTGCCAGTATGGAAAAATACCCAAACAAAGCAACTGTATCTCAGTGTACATAAAGTATTTTCAGGGTCTTTGGTGGCATTTCTAGACTAAGCCTTTTTTGCATCAACAGTGTTTGATTCATGCTTTTGAAAGATGTATAAAAAAGGAATTAACTTAGAATCATAGAGTGGTTTGGGTTAGAAGGGACCTTCAAGATCATTTAGTTCCAGCACACTGCTGGATACTTGATGCATACTCTTTACTGAATCCTTTTGCCTCTTCTGCTTTGCAGAAGATGCAGGAGATGTGCTTATTTTTCATATTTTTATTTGAACTTGCAGATACTGGATGACTTGCAAATCTGGATGTCCAAAAGGAAACAGTAGTGAAGGCTGATTTGTGTCCTTTTGGGAGCTACATGTCAACTTTCTGGTGTTAGAAGCAAACGCTCAGGAAATCCAAGAGCTAAACTCATGTTTCATTGCTGTATCTAGCCCACTGATCAGCTAAGATGTAAATTTCTTAATGTTTTTCTTTCTTCAAGATGCTGTAGTACGAAATGTATATTACAAGTACCACCACCCAAAAGAAGCACTAATCTCTGATGGAGTTTTGAATAGGTAAATATTTGGGGTATATAAATCTTTAAGCTCTTACAATTCTTATTGTTTTCAGTAAGTTTTGCTTTTCAATATCTTGTAGGGGAATCAGTGAATCTGCAAGAAAAACAGTGCTTGAGACAACAGATGAAGATGGAAGCGGACGTGACTCACAGTAAGTGTTTTCCCTTGAGAAAGCTGATGAGAAAATACTGTGAATAACTCAGAATTACCCAGTTTTAACCTAGCAGGAGTATATTGTGCTTGTGTTGAGGTTTTCCAATGCATTTCTCTCTCAGGTTCTTGCTCCTC